TACTGCAAACAAAATAAAGCAAAACAAAACAATGTAAAATAACGAACTACCGGTAACTACGGTAAGCAAAATTGAAATGAGGTCTTGAGAATAATGTAGCATGCAATATATTGATCCACTGATAAAGAGATAAAATTTTCCTATATGACAACAAAATGAATGCAAAATAAGCATATGCGTATAATGTCCAAGCAAGTGTTTGAATCAGTAATTATTAGATGAGTAGGGTTCATTATGATAGCCACGATAAAGTGGTCAACATAGCAACCACAAACACGAATCTGTGGTGGTTTCATGCACATATGGTATAGTCCGAATTAATGACAACACGCGAGTTGTTCAGGAATGCGTCGTATGATATCTGTGTGGTGATATACAACTGATAAGCGTCGCTACGCCATCGTCCTAAAACTTTGATCAGCCAATCTGGAACATTGTTGGTTGCGGCTGTTGTTGCTGCTTCACCACGAAAACTGTGACTGGCATAATTTGCTGCATCGTCAATCCAAGCAGGTCCCTAATCCAGTGTGTGAGTACTTGTCGGGTTAGGAAACGACAGTTGATGAATCTGAATGCGGGTAACTCTGACTTTGTAGGGTTGTATTTCCTTAGAGCATTAACCACGCAGACTGATGACATAGATGGAGCAATAGTGATCATATGTCCTTTTCGAAATGGGTCAGTTTTAGATGCTTTTAAGTTCAGTGAGATGACATCAGTAAGCTGAAGATCTGAGTCGAGAAGTGTAGTCGAGGGGTCAAATGATGATGTAGTTGCAGCTGTGAATTCACTGACCCGCAAAAACCCATAGAACGCCAGAGTGAATGCGGACCATAACATTAATTTGTCGCATGGATGGACTGGGGGATGTTCACGAAGAGCATTTTTCAGCTTGCGCATGAGAGCCATGGTAATAGGTAGTCTTGTACGCACTGGGTCACCATGGTGACGCTTGATGCCTTGCAGGATATGATACAATGTTTCATTCATGCTTAGAGCATCTCTGTATCCTGATTCCATATGGAGGCTGGTGATTGCTGCGAGGTAAACTTTGATGGATTTGTAGACCAGGCCCTCAAGAGCGAGATGGGTGACAAATAGGATTGCATTATGGGGCGAAACAGGTCGCGGGTCTATATGATGATGTTGACAGAACTTGAAGTACTTCGACTGACCTGATGCATAGGTGCGTCGTGTTGACTGTGCAATTCGTTGTAGCAGATATTCGTAGGCATGTGCTTCAAGCTCAGTTAAGTTGGCAGGAACTTTGCGAGATCTGGCAGTGTTACTGGTTCTAGGTCTGCATCTGGCACTAATTGTCTGAAACGTTGAATCTGTTGATGAGATAAAGAATCAGCAATTTGGTTATCTGTACCCTTAATATGCACAACCATTAGGTGAAAGTTCCCCTGTGCAGCAACGAAGAACAATTGGCGAACAAGTGTCATGATTTGCTGGGATTTGCTTGAGCCTTTTTTCCAGATGGCAACAACGGCTTCATTGTCACAATGAAAGAGGATTTTCTTCCCATGCCAATGGTGGCCCCAAATTAAAGCTGATAATAAAATAGGGAAGAGTTCCTTCCATTCGATTGACAAGATTGAATCGGTGTCGAGGTTAGCGGGCCATGGTAAAGCGAACCACTGTTCACTATAGAAGGCCCCACAGCCCAGTGTGCTAGAGGCATAAGTGTAAAGTTCCATGTCCGGAGAGGTAGACCAAGTTGAAGCCAGAATGCTTGCTGAGCCATTCCATGTGGGCAGGAACTCACGCCACCACTTCAGATCCAGATGAAACTCAGGACTGAGGTATATGTGATGACCGAGTTTGGATGCAGTGGTGGAAAGATCAATCATACGACGAAGGAATATACGTCCTGCAGGAACGCATTTACAGGCAAAACTTAAAGTTCCAATAAGAGATAGCAGCTCTCTTTTTGTACATTTCTCTTTCCTGGGCCAGGTAGGAATTGTTTCTAAGATATGGTTGAACTTGTCTGGTGGCAACCGAATGACCATCGCGTTAGTGTCTAACTCGATACCAAGGAAAGTGATGACTGCCGAGGTTCCTTCGACTTTCTCATCAGAAATCGGTATACCCAAGTTAGCGCAGGTGTTAATTAATATCTACTTTAGCAAGTAGAGTACCAGGACCATGCTTGTTGATAATAGAAATTGCATCATCGACTTTTGCATAGGTTAATGAATAGTCTTCCTTGGGTATGGAATCGTTCACGCTATTGTTAGTAGGTTGGGAAAGATCCATTATCAATCTATGTCCCCCAGTCTTCTTTGAAGTACACCCAATGAGTTAACAAGACTGGGAAATGGTGGCGAGTCAAAGGGGCCAATGGTATGTCCAAGAGTAATTTCTTTGTGGATGGCTTTTGAAACTACGTCGGGTTGTAGCAGGCTAGACCTGGCGTTACGAGTTTCACGGGAGTAGCGTTGACCAGCAAAGCCAAGATCGGCCCCACATGAAATGTCAAGTAGAACGGAGGCGACGAATACTTTATCGGGGTGATTGTGGAGGGCGGATGCGTACTGATCAAGTTTAAGTGGTGTGGTTGGTTGTAACGATGGGATTATTTCTGTTGCCAGTGTTTTCATTAGGTGTGCTGTGTTGTTGCCCACGAAAAAGACACTGACCTGAGGGTTGCTGTTGCTGAAAGTGATTGTGAGCGCTGTGTTCTGCTGCGTTACATATCTGGCATATGTGTTGGCGTCCAAAATGACATGGTGTGTTACAATTGCCATGGTTGTAGTCTCTGCCCACTTGTTTGTTAGCGGGAGTATTGTTGCCACTGTGGGTGTGCATTTGCTGTTGTTGATTGTTGCTGTAGTAATAGGGGTTGTATGATGTAGCATGATTACACTCTGCTTTTGTGTGACCCTTACGTTTGCAACCAAGGCTACACCGATTTAATTTTATGGATGACATCCGCGCGCGCGCCTGTTCTCAAAAAAAAAAAAAAGATCTCCGACGACGAGTCTCCACAGATCGGTTTTCTGTCCGGAACTTGCCGACTCATATTGTCGCAAAGCGCTGACTTGTCGTAAAACTCGTTTTTGACTACCTCAAAACCAAACTCTGCACAGTTAGATGCGCGTTACGTAAAGCGCAAAGACCTATGGGAAAGAGATTGCCTCAAAACATGCAAATTTTGCCATAAATGATCCAACATGGCGACCACACCACCAAAATACGTGAGCATAAAAGTTCAGAGGTGAAACGGAGGGATTGTTGTAGACTGGTACGCAATTGGCGTTGGCCAGGGAGACGTTTACACAGCTATACGAGAGGTCGGTAGCGGCAAGCGAGTTTCGCCCAGACAACTTTGAGAACATATTGTCCAGAGTGGCTGTCCCGCGTTTCTTCTGCAATGATGAGAGAAATGGGAGAGGAGTGGAGGTGTATGGTGGCCTAAAAGTCGGTTAGGCGACAAATCAGTGCGGTTGCTTTGTCCGCATTGAAGTCGACAA